AAACACAAGTACATTAAACACCCAACGGATGTGGGATACTCTGCCACAACTTCCACAAATGACCACTGGTTTTGTCTCCCTTTTTTTCTTTGGAGGATGTTGCAAGTGCATTTCCAGGTTTGCAGCACTGAATGGGGCAAAAGCCAGTCCTTTTCCGCACAGGCACATCAGCGTGTGGAGAAGAGACTTGCCCTTGCCAACATCAAGCTAATTCACCACACCCTTACCTATTCCTCCATCTCCTCCAACCAACACCCAACGCCCACATTAACCTTGCTCCAGGCTGTAGCCTAGAATTTGAATGTAAGGCATCTAGTTTTTAACCTATCTGGGAAGGAGCTAGACAAGCATTAATTTTCCAGGATGTGAAAGCTGCAGTGCTGGTGGAAACCAAAGTGAATGGTTGTGAAGCAGCACAAAGGAGACATATGACCAGAGTCACAGTGGTCCCAGCTGGGACCTACTGGGTGAGGGGCAGCCCATATTTGTATGCTCTGTGCAAGGCACCTGCAGTTATCTCATAGACACCAATGCTGGAAAGAGCTCAATTTCTTCTTTGCCTCTCCCTTTGCACTTCTATATAGCATCTCCAGCTCCTCAAAAACCCAAATGCCCCAAAAAGAGAGGACTACCACCTTGCTCTGAATGTGCTGCTCCACTGAAAGGCTGTTCCTCACTTGGTTTATTGAACAGAAGGGCTGAACCTCAGGAAGGTAAAAGCCTTTTCAGGAAGACCCTTCCTGAAGCCCAAAAGAGCTCAGAAAGCCCAGAGAAAAGACCATACAGAGTGGTTTTGTTACTGAGAAATATGAAAAGGGCTTCCAAATACAAGTTCCCCCACAATGATTTCTCATAGAAACTGCCTTGGGGATGCAAAGCCGTAAGGTAAGGCAACCCCATGTCCACCCTTGCCCCTTGGTCTTCAGGCAGGGGTGATACCAGCCTGCCCTGTGCAAACACCTTCCTCCTCTCCTGCAGTTCTGAGCCTTGCTCAGTTTCATTCCAGGTAAGAACCAAAGGCTCACAATATTATTTAGAGCTGCTTACAGCCTGACAATTGAAGCTCACCTGGGAACAAAGGGATCCCCTACAAGGCTGGAGACCCAGGCAAGTTTTGGGCTGCATTGGGCAAGGTGGGTCAAGGTCTTATCCACTCTGCTGCATGCTCTGAATCCCCTTCCTGCAGTCAGTGCTGGGAGAGCCAGAAGCACACTCCTTCAACCCATGCACTGGTGTGGGTGCTGGTGAGGCTACATGACGAACGAGCAATGGGGAGAGCTTGGGGGCAGGGGTGGGATTTTTCCAATCAGACCCACTCCCCACACACCTTGGGAGTTGCAAAATAGGATGCCAGCACTCAGCAACGTCCTTTTGCCAAGCCAGCAGGTTGCTCACACCCCACCTTCAGCTCCTGCCTGGAGACATACCATGCCCCTCCATACCCAGGTGAGAGCAGCAGGTCTGTACTCATTCTCACCCTGAACACATCCCAGGGTGTCAAGGGATATTTATTTACCTGTTATAAATGTCATCATCTTCACCACCCCAGCCCCAGTAATTGTTTGGGAATCCATTGATCTTTGTGAATTGCTCTTTGCTCAAGGCAGATACACCTCCAAAATACTGATTGTAAGGCAACCTGGAAGCAGGGAGAAGAGGACATTACAGGAGAGATGCTAGCCAAGGGGCAGCTTGCCCGACTGAAAAGGCCTTTCTGCTGCCTTTCACCCCAGGCCCCAGAGAACCAACAGCCACTGCAAGGCACCTTCCTGCATCAGAGAGTAGCACGTGTTCTGGTGCCCTGGACTTGGCAGAAGGAACTGGTGGGCTCAGTCCAAATACAGCTGGGAAGTGTTTTGCAACTGGCAATGGCTGCAGCCTTTCATTAAGCAGTACACTGTCCTCAAAGGACAGGCTGGTGAGATACACATCACCTCACCAAAGGTGACCTGCATGCCACAGGAGTGGCAAGAGCTCAGAGAGGCTCTGGATGTGCAGAAGAATCTCCTGAGGCACATATTTCTGCTTTAAGCTTCACCTAGCTGCAAGAAAAAACTGCAATTGCTGCAGTGCCAGCAGCAGTCCTGCTCCAAGCAGGACTTGGATCTGGAGTGGAGGCATGCAGGGGTCCTGCTACCAAAACCACTGCTGTATCTTTAGCACTACTGGCCACCACAGGGTCACGACCAGTTTCCACTTTATAGATGAGCTTTTAAACTCCCCCAGGGGGATTTGGGATAAGAAAAAACAGAACAGAAAGGAAAACCAAGACATATTTTTGTTTACAACAGCCTGCTGAATCCAAACATATGTTAAAAGGAATTTCATTTTGTGCTGCTCTCAGATTACCAGGGCAGGTCTCTCAGTGGTTCAAAACTGAACAGCCAAAAAAATTTCATTTTGCTATTAAAATAGTGCCTGATGCAGCCTTTTTTAAAGCTGCACATAGTTCTCACTATGTGAGAGGCTCACTTTTCAGACTGGGTGGAAACACTATCCATCTTCCAGCTTCTAGCCTGAAACACAAGAAGGGATATGTGGGCATCTGCAAAACGACGGGCACTCAGTTTTTCCTCACCCTGTGTTTCACTTTCCAGAAGCTGTGAATTTTAATAAACTGCTTGGCTGCATTTCTCCGCCTTCCTCCCCCCCAGTCACCCGCTCCCTGCAGGGATGCGCACGCCAAGACAGGCTTTTGCAAAACACATTTTCCCGTGCTTTCAAGGGTGGGTGGGGATGTGTGGTACTGCCTGGCCTGCTAGGCTAACTGAGGTATTAGGAAAAAAGATGCCCCTCCAAAAGACATCTCACCGGAATCCAAATTTGTCCATGGATACAGAGAGGTGTCGTGGCTGGCTGTAACATTTGTAGGTGTTCCTGTCATCCATTGGGATGAGGTCTACATCACTAAACACAAAGCAATCATAGTCATATTCTTTCAAAGCCTCTGCGAATCCTATATTCAGCAGTTTAGCACGGTTAAATTCTTCTTCTCCATCCTAATTTAGAAACAAACAAAAACAGTTAAGTGACTTCAGTTTGACAGTTGAGATGGGCAGTTTCTTACCTGTTGCCGGATGCTGGTGTTGCCATACTGGGTTGGCATGCCTGTGATGGACTGAGCTCAAACTCTAGCGCTACCCCTGCAGCACCCATGGCATGTTCACAGCAAGACCACCCCCCTGCCAAATGCTACCTGTGGGATGATGACAGCTGGGACAGTTGCAGACCATGGGGGCAGACGAAATGGCTGAGGAAAGGCTGGACCCGGCTCAGCTCCTGTCTCTTGGTAGGAACCTCTAAGAGGGCAGCTTTGACACTGAGCGGTCCCCATGTCCCACTCCACACACAGACATTTCGGAATTGAATTCTGTGATAAAGGGTAGGAAGCTGGGGCCTCCTGGAGCAGCAGAGAAAAGTAAAGAGAGACAAGCTCCTCTGGAAGAAGGGACTCTTGCTACAGAGAGAAACCTTGGTAGGGCTTTAGCTTACAGCCAGGACCAGAACCATAGACCATAACCTATCTGTGGCCACAATTTCAGCAGTCTCTTCCTAAACTCTGCCACAACATGGCTGTGGGACCATGGCACAGCCTCTGCTGAGCCACATGCATGAGCACATGCCAGACCTGAATTGCCAAGCACAAAATGGCACCAGGAGAAAAGGTCTGGTGCTGATGCCATGCCAAGCCTGGGCAGCCATGCACACATGGGAGCAGGATGCTCCCTGGGCCCTGGAAAGCTGTTTCAGGACGTGGCTGTGGCACAGCCTCAGCTACTAGATGGTGGACCAGTGCCAACTGCTTCCTGCAAGGGCTACGGCTCGCATGCTGGATGCTGCCATTGCTGCGGTGGCACAACCTCTTCTTTGGTGCTCCTCTGCTAGGTGGAGCATGGCATGACCCACCATCCATCTGTCCTGGGGCCCTTGACAGCAAAACAAAATCAAGAAGGCTGTCACCATGATGGGAAGGACCTGAAAAGAACTGACACCACAGCAGGGCATGCTTGTCCCAGGACAGATGCAGCTAATGAAGAGACCTGCAGAGAGAGGGGCAGGAAAATCTCTGCCTTCCTTCCTGAGCAACAAGGTGCCCGAGGAGAAAGAACCCTTTTGGACTGTTTCAGGCAGAAATGTTTCAAAAGCACACGTGGCTTTCAGCACAAGTACAGGCTCGCAAATTGCTCAAGTACTTTCAAGACACACAGGACCACACCCACAAACCCAAGAATACTGGTGGTTTGAGAGTAAGGATTTTCAATCCAAGACCCCACTTTGCAGCAGCAGCTTCAAACCCAAACCCTGTGCAAGGGAACAGAGCAGGTGGAAGGAAACTCTTAGGAGGTCGAAGTTTTCTGCCAGCCTGGAAAACAAGACCGCCAAATCCTTTCTACCTTTACTCCTCTGAGCAGTGTCGAGCCAAAGGACCCCCACACTGTGCAGGCTGTCCCCCGACCCTGCAACACCTGCACCAAACAATACCGTGCCCAAGGAGCAGCAGCTTAAAGCATCTTTTCTCCTGGTGCAATCTCCTTCTCCCAAACAGCTTTGCCTGGTTAATAAACAATCAGTTTGGGAACTGTTTAATCCAGACTGGTTAATGGATCTGCTGCTGGAGAGCCAAGGCAGGTTTTTGAAACAGTCTCAAGCATCTTTCAAATGAAAGTTTTAACATACAAGTGTCAAACCAAAAAGTTTTCAAAAGTATTTATCACCTGCCTTGGGCATAAATGACTTCACAGGGAGGAGTGAGCTTTCATGGAGGAGGATCTGAGCAAATATTCAGCATCCTTACCCAAAACAGAAGAGTTCACCCAGTAACTAAGATGGTGGGAGGATGATCATCATCATGCATAAAGCAAGAGCAGTGAAAACTTGAGTACAGCAAATGAAGGCAAATTAAACAAGGAGGCAGCTAAGGCTGTGATATTGGAGGGCTTTCTTCCCCCAGGAAAGGGGGCTGGCCAGCCCCAGCTGCCCTGTGCTCCTCAGGTCCCACGGCATCACACCGAAACCTAGCTCCATAGTCCCAAGGGGTACTCTTCCTGGTGCTGGTGCAAAGTGCAATGTGCTTACACCTCAAAGCAACTGCTGGGTCCAGTCTAGCACAGTGTCCTCATTTGACACCCTTTGGTTGTTCATTTCCTAATGAAATTCAAAGCAAAGGGCGCTTCACGCCAATTGTCACCAGCAGAGGCTCAGCTGCAGTTGACCCCTGCCTTCAGGCAGCCTGTAACTCTTCTAGGTGATACATGGGGATTAACAGTGCTACAAGGAGCTGTGTTTTTAAACCTTTCCACGAAAAAAACCATAGTACAGTGCAGTTACCACACCAAGAGCATGTGGGATGCCTCCTGACACCTCTCCCACCAGGCCCAAGCTGAGCCCACAGTGGGACCCTGTGCATGGAGAGGGATCAGACACACAGCAAACACTTCACGTGGGCACTGCTGTTTTCCTCCCGAATGGCCACACAACTTCACACTCCAGAATCCAAAAAACTTAGGGAAAGGAAAGGATTTCCAAGTAATTTTTTTGGTAGCTTTACAACGAGAAGGTAGCTCACGCAGCAGACTCTGCAAAACTGTTACCAACTGTGACTGCTTTGAGGGCAGGAGGCTGGTTTTCTGTTCCAGATGACATGCAGGACTTTACTGCATGTACTGAAGCAAACAAAGACAAGAGGTTTTCCTTTTTGCAGAAAGCTCTGTTTCTTTACCTAAGGCAATGTGAAAGCACTGGCATGCTTGCAGTATCTTAGCTTCAAAGCTCTTAAAACTCAGAAGCATGCTGCAGGGTTCCATTTTTTTGACTGATACCCAGCATTTTGCAAAAAAACACCCCAACAAACAGAAAAAAACCCAACCCTCAGAAATCTTTTTGTTCTGCTGTCCCTTCCAGATCAGCACAGAGCACACTATCTATAGGTGACCCTCAAGAAAGTAGATAAACCAGAACTGAAGAAACCTCCAGTCCTCACCTCTGCTTGGTAGTTCTGCATCCCATGGGAAGCTGTTATTTGCCACAAAGAAATGGATCAGTTTGGACTTGCTTGGACATACTGAAATCCTGAAAAGATAGGCAGCACACATGGGATTGCTGCTTTGACAATGCAGTCAAGCTCTAGATGCAGCCTCCACACTTTCCTAAGCTTTCAGCCAGAAGAGATGTAGTCCAAGCAAATTTTTGCTATTTTATTTTCCTGACAGTTTTTTCCCAGGGTTCTCTTGCCCTGAAGCTTAATCCATGTCTGAGTTCAGTGCTGGTGCCCAGCACCTGTTTCTGTCTCCCGAATTTACTCTCTATGTCACTCCCAGTACACCCAAGTCCATCCCCATTCCCTGATCCACAAGAGGCTGGCTGAAGAAGGACGAAGTGCTGCCTCAGTCCTGCAAGGTCTGACGCTGACTCCTTCCCATACCTGGAGATGAATGATCAGCCTCAGCAAAAGAACATCCAGGCTTTTTTACTTCCCATCCATTACCTTTGCTGGATCTGATTTGCTCAGCCAGACCTACCAAAGGAACTGTTACTCAAGTTAAAGGGGTTGCAAACAAGCAAGAAGCCAACTGTCCCGACTCTGGCCTGCCTCACACTTCCATGTAGGAGGCAGTTCTGTGATTCCTCCTGCAGACTGCACAAAGGACCCTGTGGCTGCATCTCCCTCACCTGGATCCTACAGTTGTGAGATTTCACAGAGGTAATGGTGAGGATATGTGTTTCTGGCTGGCTAGGAGAGAGACATCACCTCCAACAGGAGCTTGCTGAGGTGAGGATACACTGAGACAGCCTGAATCACAAACAATGCCAGTGTGAAAGCCCTCACTCCAGTGGACTTGAGCAGATACAAACAGTTTTTCAGGGCCATACAGAGACATCAGGAGACACTTTGGTGTTTTGCTGTTGAAGAGTGTTTTGAGGTCTCAGCATAATTACACTGGGCAGTGGGAGAGAGCAGCCACAGTGGAAACTTGCCTCTCACACCACAGCAGGGGTAAGCAGGAGCTGAGCACAATTCCCTCCTTTGCCTGCAGACCTGGGGGGTACTAATACCCCCCTACAAAATAAGATGAATAAGAGTGATGGCCCAACCACTCCACACTCAGACATACACACACCTCTCTGCTACCAAGGACACTGCAGGTAACACCAGGGGCCAGTGGAAAATGGTTGAACAACTGTCCAGTTTTCAGGGAATTTGTTAAGTCTCCCCTTTCCCAAACTTTAGACTGTCTGCGTGGGCATTTGCATGGGCTGAAATGCAGTGAGAAAACTCAATTCTAGACCTGAGTGTCCACATGGCAACAGCTGAAGGTGCTAGAGAGCACATGGGTAATGGCAGGATCAAGTGAGGCTGAGGGAGATACAGCAAATTCGTCACCGACTTCTCATTTGCTAAGGTCAAGCTTGCACAACATCACATGGGTGCTATGCAAAGTTTGCCCAGACATGTGTCCTCATCTCAGATTTATCTGAAAAATTCTACTCCACACATTGGGTTTGGGTTTTTAATGGGGTGGAGTGTATAGGGTGAAGAATAGGTAGGTTCTTTCAGGAAATAGAATAGGTTTCTTTCAGGAAAGACGGAGCGTGGCACTGAGAGCCATGGTCTAGTTGACATGGTGGTGTGAAGACTCGGTGATCTCAGATGTCTCTTCCAACCTTACTGATTCTGTGACTCTGCGATTTTCCACTGGCTCCTGTTACATGTCGGACATTTTACAATCATCCCCCTGACTTCAGCCATGTCCTACTTTGAGGCATTCAGGCATGCAAGAACAGCATGGTGGAGACACAATGGACTAGTGACAGAAACACATTGCGCTGAAAGGAAGAAGTTTGACATTACCAGTGCAGCAGTAGCAGGGCTCAGCGCTCCTCTTTCTTTCTATGAGATGCAGAGCACAGAAGAGCACGTAGGCAGCGTGTAAGAACCAGATCACACAGTAATTCTCCTTCGTTCAGTGATTGCTTTGATATAGACAGGATTAACAAGTAAAGGTAATATTTCCCCACTAGAAGGAAAAATAAAAAAAAAAAAAAAAAAAGAGGGCAGATGCAAAGGGAAGGACAGACAAGAAAAAGAGAAAAGCAATTGTCAAGAAAGCAGAGAAATAAGATCATTTTCCTACTATACTTCTGGTAGAATTAATACATTTTTCTGCAACTATCTCTACTCAGTGTCCCCACACCCTTGAGAGATGCATCCAGTGGGTTTACTACCACTGACCACTCCAGCTCTTCCAGATACAGTTTATTAGAGACATGCAGAAGAAGGATGTTCATTTTACAAATTAGGTAGTCTTACATGCTAACCTACATCTTCTGGATGCATACAGGCCATATATACTCGTTCCCTCTCACTCAAAATTGACACAAAAAAACCCATTTGCTTCACAGACTTTTGTGAGGGTTAACTTTAGAGCACACAGTCTTAGCACTGGAGAACAGGAGCAGAGAAGAGGAATAGCTAGCAACACACGGGAATGCAAGCCAGCATGTACCATGGCAGCAGCAGCAGGAACTCCAACCGGACTTCGGACACTGCCTGCCTTTATGGGCACCAGCACTTCTTTCCTTACCCTTGACCACCACCAACGGGGCAGGACCAGCCCCCACTGCACTGCCAGCTCTTTGCAATGGAGATGGCTGCTCACCCACAAGTGATGCCCCACACCACAGGCAGACAGCCTTCCCCAGTCCTCCGCAGAACTGGCTGGTAAGCTACACCTGGCTGGGACTGGCTGGGAAAGCCCCCCCACTGCAGGACCACTGCTGGAAGCTGCATCACACTCTTGCTTCTGAGCCATGCTCAGAAAAGGGTGGCATGCCACCCTGTCACCCTCACCCACCTGCAACCCAGTCACCAGTGGGGTCCGTGGCTCAACCAACTTTGTGGCACCAGTGACTTGCACAGGGAAATGCTGCATGTGCAAGGACATGAAGGATGAAGGGTTGGCCCTGCATTGCTGACCCACAGGGGCACCAGCTGCTCCTTGCATTACACAGGAAAGGTCTCCTCACACCTTAATTTTGGGGCACAGCATGCCAGTCCACATGCTGTGGAAATGCCTGGTGACCTCAGCAACATGGCCACCAGGCCACAAGCACAATCGGACACAGAGACCAGAGCATCTTGGCTACTGTGCTTGGAAACTACGGCTAATTCCCCACAAATCACTTTTGTCCAGATTTCTGGCATCCTGGAAATGAGCAAAGTAAGAGAAATTGTAGTAAAGGAGTATTGGTTTTCTCTCCAAGAACAGGTCACCCCTTACTTTCAGTTCCGTGAGGAAATTCATCGCTTGGGTGACCATTTTAAATATTCATGGTGTTTGTTATGCCTGAATACATCAGCTGATCCAAGCATAAGTTTAAGGAGTTAACATTTAAAGAAGCATGTTATTTCATCTCGGTTTTTACTGCGCTGAGAAAACACAACCAAGAGAGAAACTGTGCTGTGGGATTTTCCAACTACTTGTCTATTGCTGAGGCTCTTAGAACTGCATCTGCCCTTTCACACTGCAGCCCATACAAACGCCTGTAAATTTTAAGGCTTTCCAAGTGTGAACAGCACACACTTAAACACCTTTATGGTATAAATCAAGACAGCTTGTCTGGAGTCAAACATGCCTTTTTTTTGTTTTTTAAGGACAAGCCTAAGGCAAATAGATATCAAGAAAAAAACAACCAATAACTCCCCAAGACGGCTGGTTTCTTTTCTGTTGCATTCACCTAAAGACAATCACTTACCTGTTCCACTGCCACAGCTTTGCTTTCTCCATCCTGACACTTTGTGCGCTATTACTAACATGGACAGAAGGCGCTCAAGAAAGCAAGTGAAGTCCTATAACTTTATAGCACATCCAATACCAGATCAGACACTCATGCTACCTTGTCACCTTAAAGATCTCTGCATGCAATTCCTGCAGCAGGTGGGCAAAAGGAACGTTTGGAAAAAGGTGTTATATTGGGTTGTGCTATTTGGAATTTTTTAACTCCTCACCAAGCAGCTTCTTTAAGCAGAAGCTGTTTAGAGTGAATTGTGCCTGACTAGAGAGGAGATTTCAGGTTTTCCACCAAAATCATTGAAGCGAAATTGTTCATTTTAATTATTCATTTTTTTATTTTTAAAAGCAACCTTATCCCTGTCTGCAAGCCCACTGCTGTTCAAAGTAAAGCAACCATTCCTCTGTTTTAGGGCACACAGGCACTGTTATGACAGCTGTATAAAGGCTTTTCCCCTTAGCATCTTACCTGGTTTATAACATATACTCCATAATCTAGTTGCTGCCTTTGGAGAATTGGGTGCAGGTAATACAGCCAGTACTTGAGGTGCTCTTCTCGGTTCCTGAATGGTATGATTATTGCTACTTTCTGAAGTGCTATACAGTCCTTCGGAGCAAAACGACCTCCTGCTTTGATCTCTGGGTTTACTCTTGCCACTTCTTCCAGATTTACAGGCTGGGAAAACTCCACACGTAGTGCACCAACTGGAAGAGAGGCACAGCACCAAGCAAGTTAGCACACGCAATACATTTCTCTGAGCATACATCCTTTACAGACACTTGGGGTTTGGTTTGGTTTATAAGAAACAGAGCTTTTGATCCCAACACAATCCCAGCAGTGCATGGACGTGTTGAAGCTTGGACCATCCATACCCAAAGCAACCTCACACTACCATTCACAACAAACCTGCAAACACTGTGGCCTCTTGGTATCAGAAACCAACCAAGCCGCTGACACCAAACTGGGTCTTGAAAATCCTCTAATCTGTATGGCAAACCAACAGCTGCACTCCCACTAGCACAGGCACCGTGAAACCAAACTAAAATGTTGCACTCTCACCTATCTCATGCAGCTCAAGACTCAAGTACTGCAAAAATAGTCCTGCTCTCCTACTGACATTACTTATGGCTAGCCACATGCAAAGTGAATGAAACCCCCTTTCTTGTTTTTTTTTCTCTTAGAGATATTTTCAGTGTTCTGTTAGAGATATTTTCAGTGTTCCGTAGGCATACCCATCATTTATTAGAAGTTCTGTATTAGAAATTCTAAAAAAAAATTTCCCCAATATCCAGATTTGCATGCAGGCTGGCAATTCCTGCAAATGGTTACAACAATGGCAGGTTTTGAAACTGCCAAAACCAGCGTGTAAAACTGAGAAGCCCCTGTGGCACCACAGAGAGAACTCTCTGAGAGAGATGCCTTCTCTGAACATCCAGGCTGGCCCTTCTGCAATATTTGCTTCCAGCTGCTCCAGCCCTGATGGAGAGACTCACTGCAAAAGCCTATTGAGTGTAGCAGCTGCTTGCAGAGGAAGGGTCTCTATTGCTGTCACATCCTGCTCCCAGCAACAGCCAGCCAATAAACTGGGCTTTGCACACACACTTGTCTCCCACTAAAACCTTTGCAGTGGGCCAGGATGCTGAGGCCCCTGTGCATAAGGCAGAAAGTCTCCACCATAAACACTAGGCTGGGGACCCCTCCTGAAAGACCTGGCTGCTGTACACTCCCACTCTCCTCCATCTGGGTATGTGAGATGTACTTACGTGTTTCATAGAGCTACTGCCTCCTATTTGCATTTGCTACAGAGACCCCCAGACCCCTCCGAGGGCAGACGTGGTACACAGATGCCAGTGGGGAGTACACAACTCTTGGGGAACCCCTTGAGAGGTGGCACAAGTGATTTTTAGAGCTCTAAAAGGCAGTGATTGTCACAATGAATCTTATGCATCCCGCCACACGTGACTGTTATAAAAGCAGAAATAATGCTCCAGACTCACAGCTCATTCCCTGATTATTTAGCAGAAGTTACTTTAGTTTGATTGTGCTGCTCCACAAACCTGTGCTCACTCAGGCTGGAGAAGGCAAGGAGAGGACTTGCCTGTGAGCAGGCAGAGGTGCTCAGTGTACTCCCAGAGGCAGAGGGGAAGCTCTGCTGCCTGATTCACTGCCTGCACAGCAGCAGGAAGTGGCATCACAGACAGGATGCAAAGGGATCTCCTGATCTCTGCATTTTGCACTGGTCAAATGGGCAAGTTTGCATGTTTCCCTCTTGCACAAGGGAAAAGGCAGTGATTTCTCAGACTCCAGGCACTGGGATCAGTCTGCCCATGCTCTTGGCACTCCAGCAGTTCCCAGCTGCACCCCTGACATACCTGCCCAGTTCTGCACCCTCTCTGCCCCACAGCACAAGCTGGGTGCTGTGGATGCCTGCTCTGCAGCCACACAACCAGGGCCAAAACCTTCCTGGTCTAAAAGCGGCTTGCAGGGAGAGCTGCAGCTGGAGGAAGAGGCAAGAATTGGAGGAACTGGAGCAGGAAGAGACATGCTGTGGCATGACTGGGACCAGGGCTCAGTGGTGGCAGAGCAGGGGACAGGGACAGCCACCCTTGTGCCTGTAGGACAGGCACCACCGTATCAATGAGGCCCATGGGGTGGGAGGGGGAGACAGTGCATCCTTTCCTCTGAATTTGGGTACTGCTTCTGTACTAGGGTGGCAAGCACTCTCCCAGAAGAGCTTCTGGCCTCAACCCACTTCCACGCCTGCTTTCCCCACTCATCCCTCTGCCCACCAGCATCGCCTCTGTTAGGAGACTGGCACTCACAGTTAGGATGATGCTACACTTCTGTGCATTTAAAACAGCAAAGGGCATTGCACTGGGCATGGTTCAACTAAACAGCTATGGATGGCAAATGGGATTACATTGGGCATCTGTGCCCAGGGATGTTATTCTCCTGCCTTGCTCACACCTAGCTGTCAGCAGCAGGACCAGCCTGGTGGGATGCTGCAGGAAGCAGCTGGGCAGAAGCAAAACATCCCCTTGGTGGGCCCTGCCAGCCTGGCCCATTCCCGGGTGCTAGGTGGCTACCGTCCCACCAAGCAACTCCCTTCCTGCTGGGACAGGCTGCAGTCTCTGCTCCCAGTTGCTGGTCCTGAGAAACAACTTTGAGTTCCACCAGGCTGGAGGATGCTTTCTGGCTTAAAGAACAAAGGCTCTTTTAATGTCTCACATGCATTCACTCACTCAGCCTAAGCACATTCACTCACTCAGCCTAAGTGGGGAGGAAACAAAAGTTTGCCATTTAGGCAAATTTACGGAGGAAATCTGCTGGCAACTTGTGAGCTCCAGCTGGGCAAGGACAGCTACAAGCTTCAGACACTGCAGACAGGGCTTTTTGCAGGCTGGCATCTAGCAGCCCCCCAAGGCCAAATGCAGACCATGTGTCCTGCCAGCACTTGTTCTTGTCTGCCTTCAGGAGACTGGAACATTGACAAGGAAAAGATGGGAGAAGAAAACATATTCACAGTAAAAAACAGCTGCAGAAGATAGAGATTTAACAGTTTCATAGCCTTGAAGGGCACTGGTGAGAAATGATCTGTGTTGTTCTGACCTCCTGCTAATAAATGAGTTTTAAAGGCAGCACATATTGCAAGCACTGGCCTGAGGGATGCAGCCAACAGGCAGGACAGTGAGAAGTTCCCCAGGCACCAGTGCCATCCACGTCCAGCAAGGCAGCCACTTCTGAGGCAGGCTGGACGCAAATAATTTGGTTAATACATTCACTGGCATGATTAAGAATATGAAAACTTAAAAAAGCTGAATAGGGTGTTTTCAAATGCAGAGTGACTAAAACAAACTAGATTTTTTGTGTAAAGCAATGTGGCTGACACAAAGCAGAGGCAACATACCACCCTGCTGCAAATCGACACTTTCAGTTCACTTCCCAGGCAGGATGAAGCTAAAGGCAAACCCACAAACACACACTTTCCACCTGGTGAACGGAGTCACAGTTCCAGTTGCTAATTTTAAATGATTTTGATTGAAATTTGACTACCTGGATAGGAAGCAGCACTAGGGCTCTTGTCTCCCAGAGATGCTGACTCAGGACATGATCAGCCAATGCCAAGAAAGCATGCAAAGTCTGCTGCAAAAGCTGTTCTGCCAGTCAAAACTGTATCCCTATCTATGTTTACTAGGTAAACTTTCCAGCCCGATTCACTCTATCAGAATCTTTCTGCTTCTGTTCAAGCTGGATGCCTGACACAGGAGTCACTGTATATTAAGCCTCTGCTAAAAACAGAGAGGAATGACAGTGATGTGTAGACTTGCAGCTCTGGTCACCCATACGGGCCAGCAACTGTAGGCAGATGCCTTTCAGGTTCAATGTCATGAAGTTCCAACAGAGCAACTTCACAAGCTTCTACTATGTATTTTTAGCAGAAGAAAACCTCGAAAACATAAATACGGAACTGCCGGAAGCTTGCAAAAGACACAAAAGCACAGCATCACATGCATACACTTCAGAGATTGCAAAAGGAGGCTTCAGCTGGCAGTGGCAGGGTAAGAGGGACACACACACTAAAAAAACGTCAGCCCACTCCTGCCTCTGACACTCAGAAGCACTTCTGCTCAAAGGGAAGGTGCACAGGAAAAGTGCTACACAGGCACAGATGCCAGAGGCCATTATGCTGCTCACAAACAGGAAGTAGCTTCTCACACAAAGCAAAAAGTGAGGCTTGCAAAAAGCCAGAGGCAGCACAGCGCTCAGGCCTCAGGAGTCTGGCCCACAGCCCCAGGGATTTTCTCATCCTCACTTCCCAATGGCCATGCCTGCCACAACACCTAAACCTCTTGCCATCTGAGGCAGCCAGCACTCACCCTCCCCAGGGCTCATCCTGCCGACCTGAATGGGAGCACCCTCATGTAAGAAGCCTAGAATCCTCTCAGCCTGATACACTAATAAATCTAGAGACTGCTCCAGTCTTCCTAGACCACAGAAACTGGAAGTATTGGGAAAACTCAGGCAGCAGTGCTCCACAGGACCAGTACTGTACTCTTGCATCCCTGCGGGGGCTGCAAATGCAACAGCACCACACTCATTCCAAGAAAGTGGTAACAGGTGACATAACATGGGGTTGCTGCCAAAAAGGACAGCCCCAGGGGGCTCAGGTGGGACAGGGTAGGGGAAACCCCTTTCTGAAGAGGGTGGTGCAGCCCCAGCAGCAGGAAATAGGAAGGAGGGCAGCTGGGCTCATGGGCAGGCTTGGAGAGGTCTGAATCACCCTCCTGAGTGCTCCACTGGGAAAAACATCAAAATTCACCTGCATGCTTTAAGCCAGGCATGAATTTCAGATATTTAATTTAGTGAGAAGGAAAGCAAAAGCATGTAGTAGTGGTTGGAAAAAAATCTCTCCCCAAACAGTGCAGAAAAGAGCATTCCAATCATCCTGGCTGAGAGTTGGGCGCTGCTCTCCAGCTGCCAAACCACAAGTGCACCCACACTGCCATGCTCAGACAATCTTCATTCAAAAGGAAAACTGAAAAGAGAAGTAGAACTTGCTAGAGGAAAAAAAATATCACCAACCCTCTTTTTGCAGGGGCCCAACAAAAAAGGGGAAGGAAGGGCCTGTCAGCCACACCAAGCACATCCTGGTTGGGAAAATAGTATCAGTTCCACCCCAGAAAACATGGGGACAGATCCCCCC